TGCTGTAAATAATAATAATAATAATAATAATAACAACAACAACAGCCAGCAGAGTGATCTTGTTTGCTGTGGACTCATCTTGTTGTGTATAATAACAACAACAACAATAATAATAGCCAGCAGAATGATCTTGTTTGCTGTGGACTCATCTTGTTGTGTATAATAACAACAACAACAATAATAATAGCCAGCAGAGTGATCTTGTTTGCTGTGGACTCATCTTGTTGTGTATAATAACAACAGCAACAATAATAATAGCCAGCAGAGTGATCTTGTTTGCTGTGGACTCATCTTGTTGTGTATAATAACAACAACAACAACAATAATAGCCAGCAGAGTGATCTTGTTTGCTGTGGACTCATCTTGTTGTGTATAATAACAACGACAACAATAATAATAGCCAGCAGAGTGATCTTGTTTGCTGTGGACTCATCTTGTTGTGTATAATAACAACAACAACAATAATAATAGCCAGCAGAGTGATCTTGTTTGCTGTGGACTCATCTTGTTGTGTATAATAACAACAACAACAATAATAATAGCCAGCAGAGTGATCTTGTTTGCTGTGGACTCATCTTGTTGTGTATAATAACAACAACAACAATAATAATAGCCAGCAGAGTGATCTTGTTTGCTGTGGACTCATCTTGTTGTGTATAATAACAACAACAACAATAATAATAGCCAGCAGAGTGATCTTGTTTGCTGTGGACTCATCTTGTTGTGTATAATAATAATAATAATAATAATAATAATAATAATAATAATGCTGCTGCAGTGGGTCTCGTCTGCTGCCTTAGCCTTTGGGTATCTGTTAGAGGAGCAAGGAGAGTTGGAAATGCCAAGTCCAGGCAGGAAGGGCAAGCGGTGGGTGGGCTAGGCTTCCTCCTGATGACTCTTCCCTATTTGGGTGGGGGGCTTGGGGCTGTGCCCGGGCGTGCAACCTTCCCCTTTCCCCCCTGTTTGTTTGTGCACTGCTCCATCCAAATGCATGGTGTGTCCATCCACTTTGGCACATGACACTGGAATTATCCAAATGCATGTTGTGCTCTTCCACTTTGGCACATGACATTGTAATTGGGGGAGGGGGTCACTCCCCCTCCCCTCCTTGTTTGCCCCTCCCTCACTGCTTTCCCCTTCCTTCACTGCCTGCCCCCCCCCCCTTCTTGTTGTGTTGTGGTGCGGCTTCCTGCTGCTGCTTCTAATCCAGGGCCTCGTGGGAGTCATGGGACTCTAAGCCTCGTGTCCGGTGGAAGGGGTGGGGGGGGGTGGAGAGGAGTCCCCTCCCCTTCAACTCCGCCCATTCCTCCTCTGGACAGATGACCGGCAGGCAGATCAGGCCACCCTTCCCTCTGGGGATGATGGGAGTCTTCCTGCGGGGCTCCCACAAAGACCCTTCTGTTGACGCAGCCGGGCAAGATGGTCCCCTCCCTCCTGGCCCAGGTCATTGCAGGCCTTACCCAACAACAACAACAACAACAACAACAACAACACATTTTATTTATTACCTGCCTCTCCTGATGGCTCGAGACGGGATACAACACATTCAAAAACAAATGAACATGAAAATACAATATATTATGAAAGTACATAGATAAACACACACATACACAGGATGATATATAGATACATGAAACACACACACATACAGTATGACATACACACACACACACACACACACCAAACACAGCCTAGAATTGACATATAGTGGTTAGAGAATGCAAATCAAAACTCATGATAAATGCAATAAGTTACTAAAGTGCATAGGTAAACACACATACAGTATGACATACACACACCAAAGGTAAACACACACACATACAGTATGACATACACACACCAAAGGTAAACACACACACATACAGTATGACATACACACACACCAAACACAGCCTAGAATTGACATATAAATATAAATAAATAAATAAATAAATAAATATAGTGGTTAGAGAATGCAAATCCAAACTCATGATAAATGCAATAAGTTACTAAAGTGCATAGGTAAACACACACATACAGTATGACATACACACACCAAAGGTAAACACACACACATACAGTATGACATACACACACACCAAACACAGCCTAGAATTGACATATAGTGGTTAGAGAATGCAAATCAAAACTCATGATAAATGCAATAAGTTACTAAAGTGCATAGGTAAACACACACATACAGTATGACATACACACACCAAAGGTAAACACACACACATACAGTATGACATACACACACACACCAAACACAGCCTAGAATTGACATATAGTGGTTAGAGAATGCAAATCAAAACTCATGATAAATGCAATAAATTACTAAAATGCATAGGTAAACACACACATACAGTATGACATATACACACCAAAGGTAAACACACACACATACAGTATGACATACACACACACCAAACACAGCCTAGAATTGACATATAGTGGTTAGAGAATGCAAATCAAAACTCATGATAAATGCAATAAGTTACTAAAGTGCATAGGTAAACACACACATACAGTATGACATACACACACCAAAGGTAAACACACACACATACAGTATGACATACACACACACCAAACACAGCCTAGAATTGACATATAGTGGTTAGAGAATGCAAATCAAAACTCATGATAAATGCAATAAGTTACTAAAATGCATAGGTAAACACACACATACAGTATGACATATACACACCAAAGGTAAACACACACACATACAGTATGACATACACACACACCAAACACAGCCTAGAATTGACATATAGTGGTTAGAGAATGCAAATCAAAACTCATGATAAATGCAATAAGTTACTAAAGTGCATAGGTAAACACACACATACAGTATGACATACACACACCAAAGGTAAACACACACACATACAGTATGACATACACACACACCAAACACAGCCTAGAATTGACATATAGTGGTTAGAGAATGCAAATCAAAACTCATGATAAATGCAATAAATTACTAAAATGCATAGGTAAACACACACATACAGTATGACATATACACACCAAACACAGCCTAGAATTGACATATAGTGGTAAGAGAATGCAATAAAAACCCATGATGAATACAAATATATATACCTCTGTGTGTGTGTGTGTGTATGACATATATAGATATATAGATAGATACACGAAACACAGGCTAGAATTGACATATAGTGGTAAGAGAATGCAATAAAAACCCATGATGAATACAAATATATATACCTCTGTGTGTGTGTGTGTGTGTGTGTGTGTGTGTGTGTGTATGACATATATAGATAGATACACGAAACACAGCCTAGAATTGGCATATAGTGGTTAGAGAATGCAAATCCAAACTCATGATAAATACAATAAATTACTAAAGTGTATAGGTAAACACACACACACACATACAATATGACATACATAAACACACCAAACACAGCCTAGAATTGACATATAGTGGTAAGAGAATGCAATCAAAACTCATGGTGAATACAAATATCTATATACCTATGTGTGTGTGATAGTGTGTGTGTGTGACGTATATAGATATATAGATAGATACACGAAACAGAATTGACATATAGTGGTTAGAGAATGCAATCAAAACTCATGATAAATGCAGTAAGTTACTAATGTGCATAGGTAAACACACACACACACATACACTATGACATATATATATATAGAGAGAGAAGGGGGTATATAAAGGTATATAGTTATTTGTATTCATCATGAGTTTTGATTTGCATTCTCTAACCACTATATGTCAATTCTAACCTGTGTTTGGTCTATCTATCTATGTCATACACACACACATAGAATCCAAGAGTTGGAAGAGACCTCCTGGGCCATCCAGTCCAACCCCATTCTGCCAAGAAGCAGGAATATTGCATTCAAATCACCCCTGACAGATGGCCATCCAGCCTCTGCTTAAAAGCTTCCAAAGAAGGAGCCTCCACCACACTCCGGGGCAGAGAGTTCCACTGCTGAACGGCTCTCACGGTCAGGAAGTTCTTCCTCATGTTGAGATGGAACTCATTATTATTTTATTTCTATGAAAGTAGCACCCGTAAGACAGTGAGACTCTTTGCAACAGACAGTGAGATGCCCTGAAAACCAGACACTATCCCAACAGGTTATGGGTCCAAATAGGCTTCTGCAGTTGTAGCCTGGTCAGATTTTGAGTGCTAGGAAAGTGAGGAAGGAAATGCTGGGAAGTTTTGGAATCACTCAGTTCTTGTGGGTTTTTTCGGGCTATATGGCCATGTTCTAGAGGCATTTCTCCTGACGTTTCGCCTGCATCTATGGCAAGCATCCTCAGAGGTGAGGTGAGTTTTGGAATCTCTTGGCAGTTCCCACAAGACTGGGGAACGCAATATCCATTCCCATGGGAACTTGCCAGAAGTGCAGGTTGAGAGAAATGTGGGAGACAAATGTTTTTCTAGGTCAAGGTGCTTGAAACTGTGGAGGCAGAGCATAAAAGACTCACTTTTCCCAGAGAATTAGAAATAAGGAGATGAAATGCAGGTGCGTGAGAAACGATGTTATGGGAGGGATTGAGGTTTTTAAAGTGGTTCCGGCTGGTACAGTCCTTGTGAGAACAATGTTGCATTCAGGTGAAGAGCTCCCTTTTTTTTTAGTCTGGTGTTCTTGGAAATTATGTATTCAAGTTTCTAAGTTGCTCTTGCTTTTAGTTCATCTGTGGCATAGTTTGCCTGCCTTGGATTCATGTTATCTCATCTCTGGATATCTCTGGAAGGATTTTGGAGAGTGTTATTTGATTGGATTTTTGGACTCTTGGCTTCCATAAAATTACCTTTTGGATGTTGATTCTCTGTTTTCAATTTGCTTATTTTTATATACTCTTTTTTTACTAGACTTTTACTTATTGGATTACCTGGTCAGAGTGTGGCTTGTGGTGAAAAGGGATTTCAGGGCCCTACTGTAACATCTGCCATGCTTTGCGAGAGATGCCAAATAATCTTTCTAGAGCCTGATCTCTTTTTTCTTCCTTTGGCCAGCTGGAGACGGGGGTGGAGCACATCCGTCGGCTGGCGGTGGCCACCTGCGAGCGCTTGCGCCTGGCCCGCCCAGAAGTCTGCCAGGAGATTGTGGGCCTCTTTGAGCATGACCTACTCACCGCCTGGATCCGCTCCATCCTGCGCCCGGCCGAGATCTGCGGCCTCCTCGTGGGCGCCGACTGCGGACACTGGGATATCTACTCCGACTGGAACGTCTCTCTGCCGGACACCCCGAAACCCCCCGTAATTCCGCCACAGCCCCCTCCCCCTGGGGCCCCCTCCGCCAGGATCCTCTTCTTGACCGACCTCCACTGGGACCGGGGCTACCTCCCGGGGAGCGACGCGACCTGCAAGGACCCCCTCTGCTGCCGGGGAGGGGGCAACAGCAGCGGGGGTCCCGAGGCCGGCTTCTGGGGGAGCTACAGCAACTGCGACCTGCCGTTGCACACGTTGGAGAACCTGCTGCAACACCTGAGCCGGGGAGGTCCTGAGACCGGGGGTCCCTTCGACCTGGTCTACTGGACGGGGGACATCCCGGCCCACAATGTCTGGGAGCAGAGCCGCGGGGACCAGCTGGAGGCACTGCGCACCGTCTCCGCCCTCGTCCGGAAATATCTGGGGCCAATACCCGTCTACCCAGCCGTCGGCAACCATGAGTCCGTGCCCGTCAACTCCTTCCCGCCGCCCTTCGTGCCGGGGAACCAATCCTCCGCATGGCTCTACGACGCCATGGCTGATGCGTGGGCACCTTGGTTGCCCCCGGATGCCCTGGAGACCCTCAGGTGTGTATTGGGGGGGGGGGTCCATTTGGGGAGGGGTCTGCACTGCCCTGGGTGTATCTCTGACCTCAGAAAGGTGGCTGCATTAATCTACTGCAGGCATGGGCCAACTTTGGCCTTCCCTCCAGGTGTTTTGGACTTCAACTCCCACAATTCCTAACAGCCGGTAGGCTGTTAGGAATTGTGGGAGTTGGAGTCCAAAACACCTGGAGGGAAGGCCAAAGTTGGCCCATGCCTGGTCTTACTTACTTTGGCTCTCGTTTTGCAATGAATATCTCGTCATTGAGTCTCAACCCACTCAACCTACTTTGTGGAAGCCACAAAAACAAAGTTTCCTGAGTAGAACAACGACGTTCAGAGGAAGTTTTGAACAAGTAAACAGGAAATAACACTTGCAAATCAGGAACAGGATATCTTCCAAATTGTGTGACGTAGTGACATTCCACTGACATTGGTGGAATTGCCAGAATCTGTAGCGCATGTATGTTTCGAAAGTGTATACCTGTAATATATAAGTGTGCATATATATATTGGATATCTGTGTATATGTATGTTTATATGTGTATATGTCTGTGTTCATATGTGTGTATGTATATAGGTATGTGTAGGTATACATTTGTCTGTGTATATAAGTATGTATATATGTGTATGTATGTGTGTATGTCTATATGTGTGTTATGTATACACATTTGTATATATGTATGTATATATATGTCTGTATACATGTGTACATATATGTGTGTATGTATGTTTGTGTATATCTGTATGTATGTGTATATTCATATGTATATATCTCTGTATATGTGTATGTATGTATACACGTTTGTATGTATGTATGTATATGTCTGTATACACGTGTACATATATGTGTATGTATGTTTGTGTATATCTGTATGTATGTGTATATTCATATGTATATATCTCTGTATATGTGTATGTATGTATACACGTTTGTATGTATGTATGTATATGTCTATATACACGTGTACATATATGTGTGTGTATGTTTGTGTATATCTGTATGTATGTGTATATTCATATGTATATATCTCTATGTCTGTGTATGTGTATGTATGTATACACGTTTGTCTATATGTATGTATGTATATGTCTGTATACACGTGTACATATATATGTGTGTATGTATGTTTGTGTATATCTGTATGTATGTGCATATCCATATGTATATAATATATCTCTATGTCTGTATATGTGTATGTGTGTATACACATGTATGTATATATGTGTATGTATTTTTGTGTGTATGTGTATATTCATATGTATATATCACTATGTCTGTATATGTGTATGTATATACGTCTGTGTATGTGTCTGTGTACATGTGTATGTGTATATGTATATGTATATATGTGTATGTGTCCGTATACATGTGATGTGTATATACATATGTATGTATTTGCATGTGTGTACGTATGTTTATGTGTGTGTGTGTGTGTATGCATATGTGTGTGAGTACATGTGTATGTATATATGGGTATATGTGCATGTGTATATGGGTATGTATACGTGTGTATGAGTATATGAGTATTTATACATGTTTGTGTATATGTATGTATGTGTAGGCATGTGTGTTTACATGTGTATGTGTACATGTTTGTGTCTGTATATGTTTGTGTATGGAGAGGGACTAGATGCCCCCTGGGGGCCCCTTGTGGTGACGCTCCCCTCCCTTCTTCCCTTGCAGGGTGGGGGGCTTCTACACGCTCCCGGTGCTCCCTGGCCTGCGCTTGGTCTCCCTCAACATGAACTTCTGCTCCGAGGCCAACTTCTGGCTCCTCATCAACGCCACCGATCCGGCCGGGCAGCTCCAGTGGCTGGTGGGTGTCCTGCAGAAAGCCGAGGAGAGCGGAGAGAAGGTCAGCCGCCGCCTGGGGAGGGAGCTTGGGACTGTCAGGTTGGGGGTCGTCTTTCCAAAAGCACCAGGAATGCAGAGGGGGCCGCGATTCCACCCTGGCCACACTCAGCTGTGCTCTTCTTGACCACAGGTCCACATCATTGGCCACATCCCCCCTGCCCACTGCCTGCGCTGCTGGAGCTGGAACTACTACCGCATCATCAACAGGTGAGGAGACGCAGACCTGACTGGACTGCCGTGGACGTTGGTTGCCAACGTGGCTTCTCTCTGGGGCTCAAGGGAGGGGGAAGTTGGCTCTGCAGACCTTCCTTAGGTCTGCTATTGGGTGGGTGGGTAGGGGGTCCACAGGACACGCAGGACATAACCCACATCTTCCTTGCATTGTCGTCACCCACGATCCTCCTCCTTGCAGGTTCGAGAGCACGGTGGCCGGTCAGTTCTTTGGCCACACGCACGTGGATGAGTTTGAGATGTTCTACGACGAGGAGACCCTCTCCCGCCCGGTGGGCATCGCCTTCGTGGCCCCCAGCGTCACCACCTTCATCGCCCTCAACCCAGGTGAGCTGCGCCCCCTCCCCTGCCATCCTCAAGGTGTGCTGGGAATTGTAGTTCCCTCACTTGGACACCTCCTTCCTGGTTGGTGTATTTATTTATTTAAAGGTATTTATTTATCGCAGTGTATCTCAACCGTCCTAATGCCGCGACCCCTTTATACAGTTCCTCATGTTGTGGTGACCCCCAACCATAACATTCTTTTGCTACTTCATAACTGTAATTTTGCTCCTGTTATGAAACATAATTTGGGAGTTGTAGTTGTTGGGATTTATGGTTCACCTACAATCAAAGAGTATTCTGAACTCCACCAACGATGGAATTGAACCAAACTTGGCACACAGAATGCCCACGACCCACAGAAAACACTGGAAGGGTTTGGTGGGCATTCACCTTGAGTTTGGGAGTTGTAGTTCACCTACAGAGAGCACTATATCTGGACCAAACTTGGCACGAATACTCAGTATGCTAAATGTGAACACTGGTGGAGTTTGGGGGAAATAGGCCTTGACATTTGGGAGTTGTAGTTGCTGGGATTTATAGTTCACCTACAATCAAAAAGCATTCTGAACCCCACCAATGATAGAATTGGGCCAAACTTCCTACACAGAACCCCCATAACCAATAGAAAATACTGTGTTTTCTGATGGTCTTTGGTGACCCCTCTGGCACCTCCTGGCGACCCCTCCAGGGGTGCCGACCCCCAGGTTGAGAAACACTGATTTATCGTATCAGGAGCGAACCAAGGATGCAGTTGTAATGCATTTAGAAAAATACAAAGTTTAGAAACTTGCCGTTATATTAAGTAAAGGTACACGCTTGTTTGTCTTGTTGCTGATATGAAGAGCAGATGGACAAAGGAAAGTTATCTAACTTTGGGAGAAGAGTCTCAAGGGTGGCCTGAGGGGGGTCCTTCCATGTGTGTGTGTGTGTGTGTGTGTAGCAACGGAACACTATGCCCCGGCGGCACCCAAGAGGGCGAGAGGGGCGGCTCTTGCTCCCTCCTCACCCTCTTTACCTTTCTCTTCCTCCTCATGGTTGCTGCTGGGGCCTCTTTCCACCGCTTGGGCCCGGTGACACCTCCGCCACCTCCTCATTCGCAAGGTCCAAGCGGTGGCAAGAGACCCCAGCGGCGACGAGGAGGAGAAAGATGAAGGTAAATGTTGCACTCCAGGACAGGAAAAGCCCTCTTACTTTAAAACACCACACGCTGAGTAGGAAAACAATCCTTTTACTGAAGATAATTTTAAAAAGCAGCAAAGTAAAAAAGCACTTTAAAGAAATAGGTAAATCCAATTAGGTAAGAAGATAAGCAGGAACAAAATAGTCCAGGGAAAAGTTCAGCAAAGTCCAAGAAAACAAAATCCACAGGCTAAGGCCTACCTCACACAGAGGCTTCTCTCACAGACTAAGGCCTACCTCACACTGTGGGGCCTCTCACAGACTAAGGCCTACCTCACCTTCTCTCTCACAGACTAAGGCCTATCCTCACACAGAGGCTTCTCTCACAGACTAAGGCCTACCTCACAATGTGAGGCCTCTCACAGACTAAGGCCTACCTCACCTTCTCTCTCACAGACTAAGGCCTATCCTCACACAGAGGCTTCTCTCACAGACTAAGGGAGCTAAATAATACCTTCACTAAGAGAGCTAAATAATACCTTCACTTTGAAACTGTATTTTGCCTCAGAAAATTCCCCCTTTTTGCACAAAAAACCTAAGAACCGGGATCCTACCATCTTTTTCTTTTGAACATCCTTATTGACACCAACCTGAAATGTCAACAAGTTCCGGTTCCGGTTATGGCGGTCAGCAGCAGAAGCTGAGCTGCGCCAATTAAATAAATCAATCCGGGGGAATCCAGACGACCCCCCCCCCCCCCACGGCCACCCTCAAACTGAGGAGAGAAAGACCAGAACAACACGGGTCCTGTAGAGGTCCGATTGACCTGGGGGAGCCAAGGAGAAGGAGCCGGGAAGGCGGAGGAAGACAAGGAGCGCCGCCATTCCAACGCGGCCATCCCAACGCGGCCGGCTCCCTTCCCTCCCCTATTAAGACCTCAAGCCCCCAAAATCCTCACCTGGTGAGTGCTGGAACTCCATTCGGGGGCACTGTGGGGGAGTAAAGCCACGGCTGAGCTGCCGCTGGGGCCACCGAGGAGGTGGTGCTGCTCCGCCGCCATTGCGGCCTTGGAAACTGGAATAAGCCTTCTCTTCCAAACATTTGAAACTGGGGCAGCTACCGGAGCCCCAACTCGCGGCGAGGGAAGAGGTGGAGCGCCGAGGCCGCCTCCATCTGCGGTCCGCAGGAGCGTTCCCTCTTTGCAGCTGAGCCACTCGCCGGAGCCGCCCGTCGCTGCTGCTCCATCGCCAGCTGATCAGATCTCGCTGCCTTGCGGCCTCGCGGCCTCGTGTTGTTGTTCCCTGCCGGGGGGCTGTTTGCTGTGCTCCTTGGGACACTCCGGACTGCTGCCCGTCCCCTCACTCCACCCGGGGAAGCGAGTTCGGCGGAGTGCTGGGGAGAGGCGGGCCGGGGCCGACTGCCGCCGCGAGTTGGGGCCTTTCACAGCAGGCCGCGATCATTGCTCCGGCTAGGCCCCACTGCCTAGGCGAGCCGCTGCGCCGCGAATCGGGCCCTGGCCGCCTGGGCCTTTGCCGCTCCAATCATCTGGGCCTTCTCTGGGCGGTCCGCTGCCGGGGTCCTTCCCCTGGAGAGCGAGTGGTGGCCTACTGCCGCAGCCGCCGCCACGAACGCCGCGAGCGCTGCTCTAGTTGGGGCCTTTACCACCTGGGCCTCACAAAGCAGGCTGCTGCGCCACGAGCGCCGCTCCAACTGGGCCCTTCCATCTGGGCTTTTACCATCTGTACCAGACGTCTTATCCGCCAGGCCCAACGCCGCTGCTCTTTACCATCTGGGCCTTTACCATCTGCGAGGGCTGTTTGCGGGCCCTGGCCACCTGGGCCTTTACCATCTTTTACCACCTGGGCCCTACCACCTGGGCAAGCCGTGTGTAGACCTTTTTTGTGCCGACCTTCTGTGTTGACCGATATTGCAGTTTTTGTGCTGACCTTCCTGTGTTGACCGATATTGTAGACCATCTTGTGCTGACCACCGCCGTGTCGACCATCTCCGGAAGACTGAGAGACTCATTCGCTGTTACATCAGCCGTCCATAGATTACATCTTGAATTATAATAACTTTACCAACTGAGATTACTGCCAACTCATTAATATTGTGTTTACATATTGCTTAATAGCACTCTAGTGTTCCGATCTACCTGCTGCTAATTGGTACTAAGAACCCAATAGAGCACTTTAAGGCGCCTGCCTCCTTTGCTGCTAAATCGAACTAGCACTTACGCCCCTCTCCCTATCCCTCCATGCTGCACTTTAGATAGCGCTCAGAGCTAGACGTGGGTATTGTTGCACTTTAAGATCCTGCACTTTACGAATTGTCCTAGTGACACGTAGCTGTGACGTCTTTTGTATTTGCACTTGAAGACTCTTGCACTTTATGAACTACCTAACTATCGCAGCTGAGACGTTGACTGCACTTTACTACGATCAATCTCACTGAAGTGTACTATTTCTACCCATGTGGTTCCCCACTCCCCTGTTTGTATTGTCCCTGATATTAGTGACTAGTGGAAGGGGCAAGGGACGAAGTGGGCTGGAGTCCGTGGGTAACAATGAGGTGGGGAGGGGGGAGAAAGGGAATCAAGGGAAGTGGCAAGAAAAAACGCCAACAAACCAAACAACTACTAACCAAACAGAAATTAAGACCTTGGACCTGGACTGCGGCATGGAGGAGGGGAGGTGTTCCACTAGCCGAGGGGCCCCCATAGAGGTCGTGGTGGGGAGGGGGAGATGCGGGAAAAGGAGACCTCAAATTCGGCCTAATTCGGACCGCTTACCTACATTAATAATTCCAAACCGGTCTCCTATGGTAAATTGGTGTAACCAGGTTGGCGGGCCCTCCGGACTGAAGGTGGTGCTGTTGAACGCTAGATCTGTCAACGGAAAAACGACCTTTATCCAGGATCTAATCCTGGATGAGCGGGCAGATCTGGCGTGCATCATGGAGACCTGGTTGGATGAAGCTGGAGGCGTGAATCTAACCCAGCTTTGTCCTCCAGGCTTCTCCGTGCAGCACCAACCGAGATCCGGAGGACGGGGAGGCGGGGTCGCAGTGATCTATAGAGATTCCATCCATCTGACCAGGAGTCCCATCCCGCAGACCACAAATTTTGAATGCGTCCACCTGAGGGTGGGTGACCGGGACAGAATAGGGATTCTGTTAGTGTACCGTCCACCTCGCTGCACTACAGTCTCCCTACCTGAGCTAGCGGGGGTGGTCTCGAGCCTGGCGTTGGAGTCTCAACGGCTTCTTGTGCTGGGAGACTTCAATATCCATGCCGAGGCGACCCTCACAGGAGCGGCTCAGGACTTCATGTCTGCCATGGCAACCATGGGGCTGTCCCAACAAATATCTGGCCCCACCCACTGTGCTGGACATACATTGGACTTGGTTTTCTGCCAGGGATGGGAGCAGGGTGGCGGTGTGGAGGAGTTGTCCATCTCTCCGTTGCCATGGACTGACCACTTCCTGATCAGATTTAGGCTCACTGCGCCCCCCAACCTCTGCAAAGGTGGAGGACCCATTAAGTTGGTCCGCCCCAGGAGGCTTATGGATCCGAA